TCAATGGCAAATGTAACTCCCTGCTAGTGATGGAATCTCTGACGAAGTCAACATGCAATCTGGGAACCTATCGAGTCAACGGTTCGTGGCTTGAGATTGTTCTGACGACTATGCTTTACGACACACGACTTGGCACATCATACAAGGTCTGCCCGTTATCACAAATTGTGAAAAGGAGTTCAAACCATCGCTTTGCAGCTAAAGGGAACTACATCATCTTGCTTTTCATATTTATACCTTCCGCTGTTGCTCCTCACTATTGTCATCCGAACACGCGATGTCATTGATTCTATTCGAACATTACGGATTTACGCCTCCTGTAGTCCATTATAAAAATCCTAAAATCATTTCACTTAATATGTCTAGGCTACCTTTAAATCCAACGTTGATCGGTGGGTTTTGTTAGGCCGGAAACAACGAGGAATTGGTAAAGGAAACCTTAACGGCTTTGGTGGAAAAGTTGAATTACATGACCTCAGCCCGCTTCTTGCCGCAGGTTAGTACGTTATTTTATTAAACTCATCTAACGCCTAATCTCATTCTTTATTTCATTTTAGTTAGAGAATTAGAAGAAGAATCAGGGCTTAGAGTTGCACCAGAACTGTTTGATGAAGCGGCGCGGTTATATTTTACTTTTGAAAGACAGGAAGAGGTAATTTAATCGATTCTGAATACATTTGATTTACTATTTCGAGTTTGTCATATTTCATTGCATATCTATTTATTTTTAAGCTTCCTTTACAATTTCTGGCAATTGATAGATGTCTTAGGTTATATCACTAGTATTATTGCTACAAACCATTTTCATTTATTTATATTAGCATATCTGCCTTAATAATTTAATATATTTTAAAATTTGTCAGCCTCTGGTATTCATAAACATTCTTCTCATTCTCTTAAATGCAATATGTTCTTTCTTATTCTCTTAAGCCTATTATCCAATTATAAGAAGTGGAGTATTAAAACATAGGACTAAATTATTCCTTCTGGGAAAGGGTTTACATATTATTGGAGAGGCATGATCGAACAGTTTCGTCCTATATGATTATAATG